CCATTTCATCTTTCCTGCCATCTACCATTGTCAAAGGAAGGATCAAGTGAATTGAAGCAGCTTTTTTTGTGTGCTGTTTTTAACCCCAGTTTGATGACTAATGAAATTAATTTGTTTACATTTTTTGTATAATTTTGTGCTGTACATGTTGTTGTTTAGTTGGCTCAGAAAGTTGACAGAAAACCCGTCCCGATAAAGCGGTCACTTTCGTGAGCGGGCATTTTTAGAAACAGTTGTTTACAGTTTTTTCTTCATGCGCTGTTTATTTCCCAGATATAAGTTAGAATATGCTGGTGGTCGTCACACACAGCGCCACCTTCTGTTGAAAGCAAAGCCTCCGTTGTTTGTGCTGTAACACTGTTACACTGTAAGATTGCTGTTTTTAGTACAAAAATGTTGTTACATTGCTGCCACAAAAAAAACTAACCATGAAAAGATTAGACCGTAGAATACAGTTCCTGCATCTCATAACACCGTTTGCAGTATTTTAAGTGTAGAAACTGTGTGCGGCTGAACAATTCATCTTGGTCTTCCTTTTGTGTTTTATAGTTGCACTTTTTGAAAATTTTATCACGTTAAGTTGTTTTGGGAAGCGCTGACTGCACTGAGAAGGAAAAGAAAGGGTATGTTACGGTTAAAACCTCCCATTCAGCTTCACCCTGAATGTTGGAGGGGGAGGGGAGAAACGGATGGCACATTACTTTTTTGTCCGAGAACCTATTCCTTCATTTCATAATTACTTTTCTCTTCCTCACGTTTGTTAAGAGGTCGTCAGGGCAACAAGCTTCCAATAATCAATCCGGTGTACGTTGTTCGGACACCACGAAAAAGCTAGACGGGAGATTTGCCGACAACCTCTCCTCACCTGGTGCTATATGACCTTTGCTGTATATGTGCAGATGATGTCCACACTGCAGTCGTGTAAGCTCTGTAAGAACAGCAGCCACAGTCACCATTTACCCACTTTATTTTTTTTTTGTTGAAACAATTTCGTTTTGCACCTGTAACAATCCAAATGTATGTGAGCTTGCAACTTTTTATTTGTATTGGATATGTCTGTACGTTTTAGGATATTTGTTGATACTTGCCTGCCTGTTCTGTAAGATATTGATAGCACACTGTATCTATGAAGGCTCTTTAAAGAAGCGGAGCGATGATCTTTGAGACCTGATGAAAAATGCTTCAGTTTGTATATGAAATCCCTCACAGCGTGCTGATGATGTGTCCACTGTTCTCGGTGTTAGTGTTGTGAATGAATTACAGTTTTTCTTCCTCTTACACTCCCTCCACCTGCCCCAACATTGTCAATTCACTCGAGGTAGTAACTGTATTAACCGAACCACAATGGGTTGTCAGTTGTCACGGCACTGTAGGGCCATACTGTAAAACACTGGATTATCTCCTCCTCATTGCCTTGTCAAGTGTAGATTTTGTATGCCAAGCTATAATGTGAAGTGATTTGCATTCGGGGAAGTTTCTTGGTAATGGTTATTGAGTTGTGATGTTGAGCACTGTTGTTGCCCCTCTCCCAGCAAGTGTGATACTCTCTTGGTCATGTATGTTTTGTAGGACACCAGGGTTTTTGGGGGGGAATCATCAGTCCTGTCAGCATTTGACCCTATCTGTGTTGACTTCAGTGGATTAAAATAATAAAAATTAAACTCGTACTGACTCTTTTTTTTTATATATATACATGAATACGTTTCATTGAAAGTTTTCCTGGAAAGAACTATAATTTGGTAATATATCGAATTTAGGGAAGGTGTAGTCCCTTTTGTTGAGTTTATAAGCAATGCAAGATCTACTAGAATCTGAAAGACTGGAAAAATTATCTTATATTGGACTTTGGAGGTACTTGTTCTTACGTAATTCTCCTTTTCTACTACTTCTACTCACATTTCAGAGAGAAATATAATTTTTAACTCGTACAATTATCTGACAGTTGTTACTAGCTTCTTTGCAGGTGCATGACCTTATAAAATATGATATGCATTGTTACAGTAGTTATTATTAGCTCCACTACAATGAGCTATCAGAATAAAATGCTACTGTACAATTTTGTATCAGCATTAACGCTCCAATACTACAATATTTAAAGTCCACTATCATTCAGAAATATATGTTGGTTATTGATAATTCACATGGATATTTGAGCTTCACTGTGCAGAATGTTGTATGTGCAGAGTTTGACACTAGAAGGATGTTCTCACAATCTTCTCCTAAAAGTCAGATTTTAAGGGGCGGGGCCAAAGAGCATTATTTGTGACATTATACATAGTTTGGAAGTCAATCTTGGTCCAGTATGCAACTTATACAAGTGAGGTGTAGAAACCGGAAGCCACCAGTGCACAGACACTGAGAATGGACTTTGCAGTGAAGTAGGAGACATGTCCAGCAAGAAAACATAAAAAGAGAAATCAAATTTGCATATAGATAGATTCTGGAAATGTAATGAGGTAAAAGGAGTAGATGCCTTTTTAATGTGGAAATTATACTTTTTAAAAAAAACATTATTGTTCCAAGCTGACTATTTGTATATCTGTCTTAATACATGTCTGGAGGGGATCTTTAAAGTCCCTCTACTCTCAAAAATGTATCATGCTTATTGTTACTTCACTTGGATTTCTTGTGCAGAGTCTGACTCTAGGAAGCTGTTTTCACATTTCCAGTTTCTCTGCGCTCACTTAAAATCTGAGTTTAAGACATACACGTATGAGTATGATTTTGCGACATCTTAACAAATTTGGAGGTCAATCGTGGTCCAATATGCAACTAACACACGTGTGATGTGGACACTTTAAACTTCCAGTGCACATACACTGAGAATACACCTTCATTCAGTCATACATTTTGAAAATAAATGAATTAATTAAATTAGGGAGTAAATGTCATTTTCCTCTAAAAAAAACATATCAGACACAAATAGATATACTGTATATTAATACATTTTTTTAGGGTTCTAATAATATAATGCTCATAGTGGCCATTTTTCTGCATAATGAATTCCTGAATTTTACCTCTGGGGATCAATAAAGGCTTGTCTTAAAACATTTTCAGGACTTTTACTTGTGAAAGGGGATTTTGACATTGTGGTTATGCTACTTTTACGTAAAGTAAAAAGCTCTTCTACTGCTGATAAAAAAGATTGCCTTGGTCAAATAAGCAATGAATTGGAATAATTTCATTAGGAGTGTACTAACTGCAGCAATGTCTCCAGTTGTACCCAATTACACATCCCTTTCCAGGAACCTTCAGAAGACATAAAAATAATTTCCAGGAAAGTTTAGTAAACTATTTGACATAGGAAAATAAATTGTTATCAATTTAAAATGTGGAAATCAACTGTTTTTGTTCACTCACATCACAGCAGTGGATGGAGTGAATGCGGAGCGGTAGCGAGACACTAGGTGGAGACACAGAGTCGTAACACACCGCTTCACAGCAGCATCTTGTTGTTCCAGCTCCTTCAACACTTCACCCACAGGGACACTCCCAGTAAAATGAACTGAGCAAGACAGTGTCACAGTCAATGCACACATCAACAGCAGTCTTGTGATTAGTGAAGCCCCCCCCGAGGCTGTTTGACAGTCGTCCAATTAGAACTTTGCACGATGAGTGCACTGATTAAACCGGAGAGGGGAATCCTATAATGTCAGCATCTTCAGCCACTGATGAGGCCTTCAGGAAGAACACAAGAAGCATCAGGAAGACTTTACAAAGCTATGCCTTCTTGGGAAAAGTGTGCAAACATGACTCACCAGCTGTGCTTTCAGTTCACTGAAACACAGACACTATTATAAATCCACAGTCCTCCCCCAGAATTGATTTGTTATCACTACAATATCATCATTAAAACTGATTTAGCGTTAATGATAACATTTATTCCCTTTAAGAATCAATGATCGTGCTCTCAGTAATGTATCAGAATATTAAAACAATACTGAGGGAATGTAGATTATACATTTCTTGATAATTTCACCATGCATACATAAAATTAGGCTGCTGGAGGAGATCAGGTAGTGCTGATGCTCTGTTCCAGTCTATATCTGACTTCTGCGAGGCTGCGGATCTAATTATGGTATTCATTACAGCTATTGCATTTGGAAGATGATATATCTTTATAAGGCTGGTACACAGGTATTTGCTGGCTGAGGTTTTGCTCATAATCCCACCACTCTGTACAGACAGAGACAATAAGTGGGAGGGGTGAATTAGGTCATCTGTACCATCTATAGTTTATTGCTGCGACTGGATGCTGCTCGCCTAATGGCATCCGCGCAAAGATGGTGTGATTTACAGGTTCACAGACATGCCAGTCAATGACAACGCGGACACAGACAAGCACTCTCACTGCCTTGCCGGATCCCTCCCCTGTGGGAAAGCTGTCGAGTCTACTTCTGCGACTGAACTTAACACGCAGAGGGGTAGATTGGCTTAACGATGCCGACTGCATCTCCTCCCTCTCACACTCACAGAGGGAGTACATCTTGCTACTACAGAAAGGATAGCCAGGGGAAATAAATCGATGCGGTTGGCAGAGGTTGTCCTCTTGCCCTTTGATGCCTCTGCGTAAACAGAGAGACACTTTGCAGTCTTGAAGTCACACTAAAACACACTCAATTTTGCACCCTTGCACTGGTAAACACCACCCACACAGAGGGCCCAGATAAAGCCACTGTGTGCTCTGTATGAGGACGGCGGCTAAAAAAGACTCAAACAAAGAGTACAGCCTGAGAGAAGAATGTCTGAGACTGTGTATGACTTAACTTGACATCTCTAAATCTGGTGGATTTTTTAAGAAGCTTGGGGGCCGGTCAGGATTGAGGTCAGCAACCACAAGGTCAGTTTAAATTCCACAGAAGTATATTAAGACATCCATCTGGCACCACTCGGAGGTACAAGAAATTGTGGGAATGTGGATAGATGAGCTAGAGGTTTTGAGGGGCTATATATCCAGTGAATCAATCAAAAGAAACAACAACAAGAGTCCAAAAATGTCCTCATGAATCCCTTGTTAGGAATATGTCATACAAATTTATTGTAATGTGACATGGAAGTACACAAGGTCCCTTGGTATTTACTGTGTACAGACGGAGCAGTACACTAACAACATTTTGACAACAGGAACAGCATTAGGCAAACTTTGGAAACAACAGGAGCACCACTGACCAGCATTTTTGAAACATTTGGTGAAATCATGCAATATATAAAACTTTCCTATTTACATTTTTATACATTTGAACTGCTCTTCTGTAATATAAAATATGTAAACATTTAGAGATCTTTTAGTCTCTTTACTATATGGATTTTTTTTCTTTTGGTCCACAGACTTTACAGGATCTTCTTTCTACACTTTTCCAAACATTGGATGGACTGCAGTTAGTAGTAGTATTTAGAAAGCTAATCTTCTTAGAGGACCAGTGTGTAGGATTTAGTGGCATCTTCACCCTCCCTTTCCTTCCGAAAGCATGGAAAATGTGATAGCCCCAAGCTGAAGCCAGTGTTTGATTCATCCCATCAAGGCTACCGTAGAAACATGGTGTTAAACATTGGAGGACCATGGTGCCCATAGATATATAAACGGCAAGGAAGGAAGCAAAAACACGACAATTCTTATTTTCAGGTGATTATACAAAACCTACAGATATTATATTCCACTTCTGCCAATAGATCCTCCTGGACCTTTAAAGGGATCAAATATAATGGCTGTGATACCTCTTTCAATCTTACATCCAGGAAAAATCATACGAAAGCAGAGACTTTTACATTTTGAATTTCAAAGCAGCCACCATTCCAGCACAGTTCATCCTGAAGTTAACAGAGCAAATGGAAATATATATTCTCGTCTGTGACCTTGAAAGGGGAGTCATGACTAATGGATGAAGGATTATATTTGCTATACAGGCTCTCCTTTTTCCGACAGGGACAGTTGGTGGATTTTAATGGTGGGAAGGTTTCCGACAGAAGGCGGCTGGGCGCAGTTTGACTCCTGTGGGGGAGTCCCACTGCTGAGGAAGCAGCAGCAGGTTTGGTGGAAGCGTTTACTGCAGAGTTTGGCCACTTTAGCCCTGCTTGTCTCGGCAGGTCCAGAACCGCCTGTGGGGTCTCCAGAAAAGACTCTCCACTCCCTGCTGTCCCTGGAGGAAGGGGTTCTGGACAGGGCCATAGAGGAGGAAGGGCTGAGCCGACAGGGAGCCCCCCTGCTGTCCAGGCCCAGATTAAGGGGCTGGCTGTGACCCTGAGTTTGACTCTGAACTGCATTCAGATGGTGGTGGTTTGATCTTGGAGTCATTCTTAGACAGTGAACTCCGAGTAAACTCTGGAAAGCTTTTTTAAACTCCTGGTTGGAGCAAGGGTAGATGATGGGGTTGATGCAGCTGTTGAAGTAACCGAGCCAGAAGGTGATCTTGAAGACAGTGTCTGAAGGTCTGTAAGCAGGGAATATGGAGCCTGTAGGGACATTAGACACACAAGATTAACATTACAGCACAAAGAACGACAAAACGTTCTTGATTTCTTGTCTGAAAGGAGCTTGATTTATTAGAAAACAGTCTACTGCCACACTAGCAGAGGTAGCAAAAGTATACACATTCTTTACTCAAGTGGAAATACAGATACGTGTGTAAAACAATACTCCAGTAAAAGTAAAATTACTGATTCAGCTTCTTTGCTCAAACAACAGGGAAAAAGTACAAGCTCTGAAATGTGCTCAAAGTATAAAGTCTCGGTTTGAGCTGTTTCTGTGCAAAGTTAACTAAAACTTTGGGTCGTGTCTTCCTTGTTTGTCTGCTTTGTCTTGTTACATAGTTTTTGTAATGCTGCGTCTGTTGTGCACTGGTCTTGATGCTGGGAAGGCGTGAAATGATGCAAAAACCTGCAATAAAAATCAATAATTCCCTTCAAATGCATTAAAACTAAAGTAACAAGCCTGGTTTTAAAATGCAAGGACAAGAAAGTGCAGATATGTGTGTAAAAATGTTGGTGGTAAAAGTAAAAAGTTGTGCTAAAGTAATGTCCAGATACCTGAAAAGACTACTTTAGTACGGTAACTAAGTAATTCATTACTTCTCACCTCTGCATGCAAATCCTAACTTGTTTAATTTTTCCTAATCAAGATGTCCTAACCTGCTCCGTGCCACCCTGGTTATATTTTTGCAAACTTGTTTCACCTCAAACCTGCTAAAACGTGGGGTGGATATAGATCTGGCTATTCAAGACTAGTGAGTCATAAGGGCACATTAGAGAAGTTTGTTTTCTCCCAGAAATGGCAAGGGACTAATTTATGAGGTTGAAAATGAACATCTTATATGATACACAGAACCCTTTATATAAGGATATCCTCAAAAGGGCAAGGTTTGGAAGGAAACTGGGGAGCAGCATTATTCAAGAAAATAGTCATCCAATTATAAAGAAACAAGGCTGAGAATGCAAACATGCTGATGGTTCAGCAGGTAGTATTTTCCAGGTTCCTTTTAGTTTAGCACGTTAACATGCCAGCGCTTGTTAATTGGTGAAACAAAAGTACAGTACAGGTGTCTGGATGTGACTGTTTTATGTGTTTGGTATCCTCTAGCTAATCTGCAGCAAATTTAACAGCAATCTAATCAAGAGTTGTCAAGATGTTTAACCCTAAACCTCCAATGTCAATCTAATGGTGGTGATGGAGTAAAAGTCAAGGGATCGCCAAAGTCACTGGGATTCAACTTCTGGGGAACATGAATGTCTGTACAAAATGTTGTGTCAATCCACCCAGTAACTGTCAATTTGTTTCACAGAATAAGTGACAGCCTGCTGGTGTTAGAAAATAAGTCCTTAGAAAACATCCTCATGGCAATCCAAACTGCCAGCATTGTTAAAGTCCTTTAGCATACATGTTTAGAGCAGCATCCATTACTCCATTACTTGTTCCATCTGTTGCAAAGGTTGTGTTTATCTGAAAATGACTCTGATCTGCATCTACTGAGAGAAACGTATGATTGCTCTTATTTACATCCACTTGAGACAATATATTTTTAATTGTTTTATCCACTTTCCACTAATAAAAAAGCTCACTGTTCGCCATCAAGGTCAAGGATTTTATTATAATTGCTGTCATAAATAGTGCTGCTTTTGATTAGAGGAAGCATTCGCAGCAGAGAGCGTGAGTGGGATCCTTAATGAAGAAGCAGAGAAAATGGCCTAAGAGGCACATTACATGCAGGTCCGCTTGTCACTCTAAATGCAGGTGACTCTTCACATATCCAGTGACTGCCAGTGAAACATTAAAAAAATTAAATGGCTGACTTTCTCCGGTGGCTGCAATATATCTATCTATCACCTATCTTCAGGGGGAGAAGCTGTCTTGTGAAATGCTTTATTGGGCGAGCTCTTGCAGACAGTTAAACGTGGGCTTTCGAAAAATGAGCTCGTGATAAAGAGGGGGGATAGAAAAAAAAGAGATGGAGAGGGTTTGAGAGCAAATTATTTGTGTCTGGCTCTGCAGCTCATACATTTTATCCCCAGCTGTGCCAAAAAGAACAATTCTATTATTGCCGGTACCCTTGATAGAGTCATGTTTTGAATGAAAAAAGAGGGGTACTGCAGCTGTTTGAAAAACGTATTGTTGTCCAAAATCAATGAAGCATCACTGGCTGTTGGCTTATGATGAACTCTTTCAAAAAGTGTTGCATGACCTGCAAAAAGCTATGCAGTCGGACTGAAAATAAGATACGTTTTTGAGACAAACTGTTGCCGTTTGTTGGGAGATATAAAAAGAAAGAAAGAAAGGAAGAAAGGGGATGAGGGGGAGAAGGGGGTTATTTATCGTCCACATTAATAGAAAGCATTGTACCAATACAAAAGCTACCAATGAGTGAAATATGACTTTCACTGCAACAGATGTCCTTGAACCTAGTTCAGGCAAATTTATTTTAAAGCAGAATTAAATCATTTTTGGCCACTTGGGGGAGGCAGATAAAGCTGAAAACACTATGATCTGACTCCTCAGTCTATTGCGCTATATCTTTTAACCCCGTACGACCCTGCTTGGACTTTGAGATCCTCTGGCAGGGGCCTTTTATCTGTTCCAGACTCTCGGTTGAAGACTGAGGAGGACAAAGCTTTTGAAATAAGAGCCCAGAAGCTCTGGAACATCCTGCCCCGAGAAAACACAGCCGACTGAGTCAGCAACTTCTTTCAAATCGAAACTGAAAATGTACTTTCATTGTCTTCCCTGATTTTGTCTAAATCTGTTTTTTATTCTGTTTATAGGTTTCAAAGTTTTAATTCTTTATCTGTTTTGTTTTATGTATTCTTTGAAGCACTTTGTAACTAACTCAGTCTTATTATTATTATTATTATTATTATTATTATTATTATTATTATTATTACTACATGGAGATAGCATATTTCACCTAATAAAGTTGTTGTGGAGGACATATCAGCAAACAGTTGCCTATTTACACGTCCTTCAGCCACAGAGCAACATTAGCATTAATATGGAGTATTTCTGTCCCCCTGATAAATGTAAGCAGACTTCTTGAGAAAAATTTCAGATCATTTAGCAGTTAAATGCTCCAATATGATCGCCAGTTAACTTTGTCTGTCGGCTGTTAAGTGCTAGATGTACATGTAGCCTACTGTGGGTTTTTAAAGCTTTTTGCTGAAAACAGTCTTTATGAGATTGGTGAGTGTGAATCAAAACCAAAACAATAATCTGATAGATGCTAAAAAGATTATAGAGCTGAGGGAGAATTGCAGAGTTGGGTGATTGGTTATCTGTGGATTCGTCTGCACAACTGACCCCTTTCACATTATACCAAAGTAATTTGATCAGTTGTCCATGTAAAAATGTTCATCAGTGAGCTCTAAAGAGAAGCTTACAACACTTAAAAGAACACCACTGGCGTCTGTATTTGACGACCTGCGAAACTCGCAGAAACGAAAAAAGGCCCCATCTACAGCCAGTGTTGGTCTTTTCTGAGCTATTAAACATGGCAGTTCAACATGGCTGAATCCAGGTGTCTGCGAATAAAACATTTTAATTTAAGGTAACGAAAACTCAAGGATTGTATTCTATTCAGGTGATTATACTCTAATGAAAACATTTGAATATTATATTGAATTTCTGCCAATTGAGCCTTCTAAATGTCCTCCTAAAGCAGAAATTTGAGGGGAAAGTGGAAGAAACAGCGCCAGGGGGACCAAAAACGGGGACATTGGACCTCATGGTTAACCACTATAGGCCACAGTTAATGAAGTTATCCTTTAAATCAACAATGGCTTGCTTTACACTTCCTTACAGTCCCTCAGAAGAACTTCCGTAATGTCAAGGAGAGAGAAAAATCCCCCAAATAAATAGAGCTGAAACAATGAGCAGATTTTTGACATGATCAAATTCCCACAATTTATTTTTCCCTGGTGGCAAAATAATGTTCACGCCAATAAATACAATCAAACAATCACAAGTTATCCAGATCTACATGTCAAAATGAGACCATTGCTTGGTGATTCACTGATAAATTTATCATTGTCCACAGACTTATGTGGCAGCGGTATGCAGCCTGACGCCAGCATTAGTAAGGGAGCGTTGGTAAGCTGAGGCTTTTCCTCATTTCCCAGTCAGGAAGGGCCTTCAGCCGAATGGTAACAGCTATATTTACAAGCATGAGAGCATGGAATAAATAAAAAAAACCCTGAGGGGATTTGTGAGGGCTTTGCCATATCTCATATCTACTTGGTTCAGATTTCCTTCTCACATTGACACCAGCACGTGTACAGTAGTGCATGCATGGTCGGCAAGTCGTGTGATTTCCCTTCAAGCTTGTCATCATGAGGCTGGGTGTTTCTCTAAGGGAACATAATATGAGGTCTGACACCGATGTGATGGCTTTGTCTGTCATTCCTCGACTGGCATTGTGATTAAATGAGTCATGGACACAAGGGAGAGAGAAAGGAGCAGAGGGAGAAATGGCTTTACACTTCATTAAAGGATGTGTGTTTGGAATATACGTTGGTCTGAAAGTCTGTGCTTTTGTTTGTAGACGGGGGAGCACCAAAGGCTGTCGGAGATCTAAAAGATTTATAGAGCCTATTTATAGAGCGTCTACCTGGCCGAGTCAAAGCATTTACTACGCTGCTCGAGAGGCCACTAGGCTCGTCTGAATGATAGTAACTTCAGTGTCCTGCCACTGAGGAGCAATTCAATTAACATGATCAAACTATCGAAGCACTTAAAAACCTGGCAATCGATGAATGGATCGTTCAGATGAATTTATGCAGAAGTTAAATGGCTTTCTAAAAGTGGTCTGACTAACATGTGTGAATGTAGGTGATCAAATATATGGACCCGTTTTTAAGTTGTGAAAGCTTGTTGATTAAAAAGTTAAAAGGCAGGTCATTAACCATCCTGTGCATCACTAAAACCTTTTCCATTGGTGGAATTTAATGCACTTAATGGTGGGCCATGGGCCAAAAGCAAACATCTATTGTATTGGTACTAAGTTTCCTTAATTGCCCCGACCCAAGTTCCCCCCTTTTCTCCAGCAGGGGCTAGCTCAAATAGTGGCATCGACAGCTCGCAGTGGCATTTCCAGTTGCAGGTTGAGATGCCAACGATTTTTCCTGAAATGCCACGGCATCTTTCGCCGTTTATATGGTATTTCCGGTGGCAATCTAGGATGCCGCGGCACCTGCCGCTGTTTGTGTGGGTTGCCACCGGTTCACCGTAAGATGCCACGGCATCTCTCGCCGTTTATGGGGTATAACAGTTGCAAACAAGGGCTGTGTCCGAAATCACCCACTACTCATATAGGCCTACTAGCAAACCATACACAACCAAACCAGTAGCCTGTCGTACTGTAGAGAAAAGAGGATATCCGATATCTGCTAGTGAGATACCGACATTTATAGTTTATAAATGTTAACACAATTATACAATATTAGACTTGGTAGCATTTTCATGACCCTATTTGTGCATTTTTTTCAAGGTTTCTTTGATTATTACAATTTTTGATTTATATTACAGTCTGTTATGTTGCAGTGCTGAGGAAAGAAATCGGTGGTAGCCTATGTTTTTTTTTCTTTAAAATGCAATGTAAAATGGGTGCCTGGTTAGCTCAGTGGGTAGAGCTGGTGACCCATGTACTGAGGCTGAGTCTTTGCTGCAGTGGCCCAGGGTTCAAATCTGACTTGTGGCCCTTTGCTGCGTGTCATCCCCTCTCTCTGTCCCCCTTTCCTGTCTATCTTCAGCTGTCTCTATCATAAAGGCAGTAAAAGCCCCAAAAAATACTTAAAAAAAAAAAAAAAAAGCAATGTAAAATGACAAAATACTTTGCACTCAATTAAAAGGCTGCAGTTTAAAGTATTATTTTTTTGGCCTTTTATTTGACAGGGGGGGCAGAGAGAGGGGATGACATGCAGCAAGGGACTGCAGGTCAGACTCAAACCTGGGCCGCTGCGTACATGGGTCACCAGCTCTACCCACTGAGCTAACCAGGTGCCTGTTTTACATTGAATTTTAAATGAAAAAAAACATAGGCTACCACCGATTTCTTTCCTCAGCACTGCAACATAACAGACTGTAATATAAATCAAATATTGTAATAATCAAAGAAAAATCAAAAAAAAAATGCACAAATAGGGTCATGAAAATGCTAACAAGTCTAATATTGTATAATTGTGTTAACATTTATAAACTATAAATGTCGGTATCTCACTAGCAGATATCGGATATCCTCTTTTCTCTACAGTACGACAGGCTACTGGTTTGGTTGTGTATGGTTTGCTAGTAGGCCTATATGAGTAGTGGGTGATTTTGGACACAGCCCTTGTTTGCAACCGTTATACCCCATAAACGGCAAAAGATGCCGTGGCATCTTACGGTGAACCGGTGGCAACCCACACAAACAGCGGCAGATAAACACACATAAATGGTGAAAGATGCCGTGGCATTTCAGGAAAAATCGTTGGCATCTCAACCTGCAACTGGAAATGCCACTGCGAGCTGCCGATGCCACTATTTGAGCTATCAGTTGAGCAAGCTTCGGCCAACTTTACCCGAGGCTCGTATATTGAAAAAACAACTAAATTTTGAAGATGTTTAGAAGATAAAAGCAACAAATTATAATTTCTTAAGTTTGCCAATGTTAGCAAAACTATCTAATTTATGATTTATGCAATTTAGCTAGCTAGTTAACTAGTGTTTTGATAACATTAGATACCAAATTAAGATGTCACTCTACATAAGTCGCTTTTACTTTTTCAAAATTTAGTTTTCCGTATATATTATATAACAGGCGACTCACACGGCACTTAGCATACGTAAGTACAGGAAGTTAGAAAGTCGACCGAGGTTTGCTTGTTTAACTGTTATTGGAGCATAGAGCAAAAAGGGGCGTGGCTTAGGAAGAGTCAATTGACTGATTTCCTGCGTAGTGTCACTCATCCCATTGTGCTCATATGAAAAATAATTGATAAGGGACCCATATATTTAAACAGTTAATGATATTATAACTTTTTTAATTTGATTTTTAATATTTTTTTAGCTAAACATCTGGCCGGCCAAATTGTATCTTATGGTGGGCACAGGCTTCACTTTGGGCAGCCCTGGTTTACATAGCACTGAGTTGATTTCATTCACAATTATTGATTTGCTCAGACAAACGCTACAGAGGTCTTGGACATCATCTGGCTGCAAAATGAATAATCACATACAAGATAAACATGATAATACTCACCAATAGGTAGCACCAGGAAAAAGGGCAGCCAGCACAACACGAAGCAGCCGACCACGATGCCCAAGGTCTTGGCGGCCTTCTTCTCACGTGAGAACTTGAGCAGTCGCAGAGCGAAATGCGTGCGGCTGCGAAGGGCCTCGTCCTCTGATACAGTTGTATTGCCTCTGTGTATCCTGAGTATCACCCTCTCTGAATCTGACTTCTCGGTCTTGTGGCCCTCCCTCAAGCCCTGGCTCTCTCTGTGTGCGACCACATAAACCCGGCAGTACATGACCAGTATGATGGCCAGAGGGAGGTAGAAGGAGCCCACAGCAGAGAAGATAGCGTAGCCAGGCTCCTCTGTGATCTTGCAGATGGACTCGTCCTCAGGTGGTGGCTCTTTCCAGCCAAACAGAGGTCCAATAGATATGATGATGGACAGCACCCACAGCAGCATCACTGCCAGCAGCGCCCTGCGTTTTGTCATTATAGTTGGGTAACGCAGAGGGTAACTGACTCCAATGTAGCGGTCAACAGAGATCACACAGAGGCTCATGATGGAGGCAGTGCAGCAGAGCACATCCACAGCTGCCCAAACATTGCAAAAAACCCGCCCAAACACCCAACGATCCACAATCTCAAAAATGGCAGAGAAGGGTAGTACAGTGGAGCTCAGCAGCAAGTCTGCCACCGCCAGATTAACTATAAAATAATGTGTGACTGTCCGCAGATGTCGATGGCAAACCACTGAGAGGATTACCAGGATGTTTCCCACAATTCCAAACACAATTAAGATACCAAGCACCAGGCCCAACACCACAGCCTTGACTACGTTGAGTTCAGGGACTAGCACCTGGCTGCAGTTGGAGCAGTTCTGTGTCAGAGGAGCTGGGGTCATATTGTCCAACACAGGAACCATCTGTTCCAACACTTAGCTGATGCCCGACACTGTCCTGTGCAGCAAAGGTAGACTGAAACACACTATTTAAGTTCCTTACAGGAGAAAAGGGACATCAGGGCATTCTCATAAAAGCCATTAGAGTAATGATCACATTAAGTCTGTCTTGTCAAAACATAATTTGAATGATGATGCCTCGAGCAAATGAGCCATTACGTTGGCAAAGCATCAAGAAAAACTACAGGATGCATGCAGAAACACAGAGAGAGAAGTGTAATGTATGCAGACAAAACCTACTGCGCTGAGATCAGGTAATCCATCTTGAAAATGTTACCGATGTTAAAACTGACTGTTATTATGCAGCTGGTACAAAAACACTGTCAGAAATGCATTATAGATGGGGCAGAAAGGTGGGTGCACACATCGAGAGAAGAATCTTTGCATGTTCTCTCAACCAAAAAATGCAGTTTGAGAAGACACTTTTCTGGGTAAGACAGTGGGCGAGTACTAGTCCATGCTCTTCCTGTTGAGTGCAGGGGCTGATTCAGCTTCAACACAGCAACAGGATTCTGCAACAGTATCCAGGCCCCCTATTAAAAAGAAAGACATGAGAGTCTGCTTTGAGAGAAGTGGCACATCCATCACATACAGTAAAACACAAAAACATTCATCCTTGTTTTCTCTGTTGTTTCAGGGTTGGGTTTTTTTTTTTTTTTTTTCCATGTTGCCGCGGCTCTGATCTATCAAGTCGAGTGGGCGAGAGACAATGTCTGAGCCACCGTTGCTGTCAGATCAATGTGACCATCTCACGCTTATTGACTAAACACAATGTGAGGGTGAGGAATAAAGAAACTGATATCAGGACTGATCAGCTGTCTGTTTCACTGAATGGTCTGGGAAAAGCATCACACAATTAAAATCTGGAGCAGAATAGTTTGGCCTAGTGTGTATTTTATTGCCATTTTGTGATGCAAATATGATCTTCAACTGACCTCCACAAGCCTTATCTTGCTCTTCATCCCCCCCTAAAAAAATCAATATCATGTTCTTTGTACATAAATAAATAAATAAATAAAAAAAGTAAAAAAATAAATAAAAAAGACTGGAAACAGGGGGAAACAGCTATTTCAGCCAAGAAATAGCTCCTGCAGGTAAATCTAATGTAACCTAATCTTGCAAGGTAGCCGGACTTGTGATGTTGCTCAAGAATCCATCTCGCCAAGCTTTAATTTATGCGTTTGTGGCCAAACTTCATGCTACCGGATAAATCAGCGTCCTTTGAGGAAGTTCTGGCAGGTGCATAGAGGCTGCTTCTAGCATCAGTTATATGCTGATAACTGGAGAACTCCCCATACAACCACACATTTTTACACTTTGGTTTTTTTTCATACATATTAAACAAACAAGATAGAACATGTTAATTAGGGAGCATTAAAAGGTGATGGTGGGCAGGTTGTTGTTTTTAAACCTTTGTTTCCCCCGGCTTTCTGTATTTAGCTAAGCACAGATAATTGTCTGCTGGCTCTTCTTTGTCTAGTGGCATCCAGCAATGAAGTTGCAGACTGCGGCTACACCTCTAGCATCTGTATTTCACAACCTGGGAATTAGAACGAGTTGTGAAGTGTGTAGAAGAAATCTATTGGTTTGTGCTTTCTGGGCTACTGAAAAAACAGCTCATTCTAAGGTAACAAAAACACAACAATTCCTATATTCAGGTGATTATACAACATATCTATGAATATTATATTCCATTTTTGACAATAGATCCTCTTAAATGTTACACACTGGACCTTTAATGCACAGCTTTGGTGCATATTAGTCAGGCTAGCTGTTTCCATCTGTCGTCATGCTAAGTAAAGCTAATTACCTGCTAGTTCTATAATGCACAGATGTGTGAGTGGAACTGATGCTCTTATCTAACTCTCACAGGAAAAGTGAATAAGCAGATTTCCTAAAATGTCTACTATTCCCTCAACATTTGTGAGTTTCCCCCCTGCAGCTGCTTTTGTTTTTAAGGCTCTGTGCGTCGTGGCTTTATAGCCATATAAGATAAGCAAAATGAGAAATCCCGTTGTTCAGATGGATTTCAGAGTGACGTTATTGTTCACTGCTCCTCCAGCAGTGCTGATTTTGGCCTGAATCGCTCCCTCTGACTTTGATGCATCGAATTAATTTCATTTTGAATGTTCTGTCCTTTGACTGGAAAACAATGTCTTCGTACCACGCAAACTCCCCCACAGATGTGAGATTAATCTTGTCCATGCAGATTACGGACATTTGTGATGTGGATGTTCCTTAACTAAACGTAGATTAGATGGGACTAGTAAAAGTAGTGCAGCCATGTTGACGATTTGAGGATTTTGTTAAGCTGCTTTATTTGAGACTAAATTAAAAGTTCATCTGAGTTGCCCTCTTTTCTAGTGAGTGTGTTCCTTATCTATCTATCTATCTATCTATCTATCTATCTATCTATCTATCTATCTATCTATCTATCTATCTATCTATCTATCTATCTATCTATCACACATCAGACTCTACACAGACAACGGGGATGGAGAAGGCATTATGCAGTCCCCTCAAGTCTTTAGCCCCCTCCTCTCCCTTCTCCATTGCTCTTTGCCACACTATTAACCACCGGCTGACCTTTTCCTCTGCGCCTCAACCTCTGCTCCACGCTGGATGTACAGCTGTTTGACATGTTTTATAGACTATTTTGTCTCCCGTTAGCTCCTGTGGTGGCACGGTGCGGCAAAAAAGACCAAAAAATAAATTAAAAAGCCTGCATTCAACAGCCATCATAACGCATCACCTGAGCGCTTCTCCCACCCACTCAAGAGGAAGGAGGTGGGGGATTGGGGTGGGTGCTGGTGCCTCTAAGGTAATTATAAAAGTTTATCCACATAGAAAATTGCAGGAGCTCATTACACCATCATCATTTTGCACTGTAGGAAAGATTAAGTTACCTCAGCTTAAAATATTAAGTGTCCCTGCTGTATTAAAATATTAAACATACTGTGTTACAATGAACAGGAGGAAATAAGCCTGATGGATTTACTGTAAGACAAGTTCATGTCATATGGAGGGGATACGTTCAGTCAGGATTTTCTTATGTGCTCTGTTTATTTTCTCAGTAGTAAATGAGTTTCATGTTCGGCGCTAAAGCATGAAGGCAGCAGACGTTAATGTCACTGCCTGTAATAAGAGAGATATGACATTTGTGGCTGCTTGTTGACTTTATTACATTCAAAATTATTCATTCATATTCATTAGAATGAAAAGGAGTATGGGACTAGGGGTTGATGTGGTTAATAATCATCATGTTTACCATTTTTTGTTTTCATTTTTACCAGAAACGATGTGTTCAAACTGGAAGAAAGACCCATTTCTTAAAAAGCTGAGCCAATTAAAATGTCCAATGAGCCTAACAAACCTAATTTGATCAATTCATTCAACTGGCACGTTATAATCACAAGACTTAAACTCATGATAAAAACTACTGCTTTTGAGATAAATTAAAAACTGACAAGCTTATGTAACATCAGGCTCACGATAAAAGATCTGTTGATTCCTCTGAATTGCCGATAGAGTTTGGAGAGAATGGGATTTTATTTGGGATGCATATGGATCCAGGTGCAGTGAACTAATGCACACTGGTTATTTTCCACCCCTGATCTATTTAATATTCATATAGAGTAACACACACATCAGTGGGTGTTCAGTGGAGAGCAGGCGTACGCAGCGGCCCCTAAACCAGTGAGCAACCTCATAATGAAGTAGCTATAGAGGTTAGATGCCTTGCTCAACGGCATGTAGCGGTTACGTGTTTACTTTCTTTATAAAACAATGCAGGTGTTTCCTGTTACAAGCATGTTTCTCCACCACTGAATAGTCTACAAATACAAGCTCTGTGTGTTCTTGGCTGTTTTCCAGGCAGACACACAATAATGTGTTGATGTACAGCTGCTGCTGAGGGTCACACAGGAACCCTGAGCCGGGGTCGTGCAGCCTCTCTTTCTGTCTGCAGTTGTTTTAATTGGTTGAGGAGTAAACACCCAGTCTCACTCAGATTTAATCTCAATATCTGCAGCGCTGTGCCGGGTAATTCCCAGCTCTATAAAAAGAGACCACTTTAGGTGATACCTGACAGAAAGTGATATCCATACAGTAACAAAATGACTGAGGCGGTCAAGAGTCAGCAGAGACCTCATAGTGCATCTCTCTGATGGACTGTTAAAACCACATGGGGGTCCAAATCTCAACATCCTTAATATTTAAGGAGTGGTGACACAGGCATGTTATTTTAGACTTGGAAAGACTATTGAAGACATCAGACAGAGCCTATTTGGCGAGATAAATCATACTTTAAAAAATGAGATGTATTAATCTATAAATTAAATTAAAAAATAAATTAAATCAACATTATTTTTCACTACTTCGGCACAATTTATGATTAAATGATACTTAATTTCTCAGAAATCTTTCCCTTTTTTTTTTTAAAACAAAAGTCCGCTCATGTGGTCATAAACAATGATCCAGCATCAGCAGCATGAAAGCGTCCACTGAATGAGAAATAATTAGAGACAGAAATGAACAATCCTCTCAAAATGCCTTCAATTAAATGCTTGAAATCCAAAAAAATGTTCCGGCACTCACCTAACTTTGAGTTGGATTTCTCGCGTCCCGACGCTTCCCTGAGCCACATTTGGAGACGGCTGTGATTGCGCAGAGCCGCGCCAGGAGACGGTGAAAGGGGAAAGTCAAGTGCGCTCAACGCGGAGGAGCTCTCACGGCTGCCGGTTTAAAAACACCCGACCTTCAGGTGCTCCGAGTCTCTTCAGATGATGGTGAGTCTACCAAATGACTCACTGCTTTCTCTCCTCGAACAACTTCCACCACCACCACCCCCCCCATCAACCCTCCTCCCTCCTCCCCGTTCATCCCCACCACCACCCAACCATCCTCTTCCTCACCCTCACCGTCAGCATCACTCCCTGTGCGTCATCACAACCAGTCACCGTCTACCCACTTTTCATTCACAAATGTTTCATTAAGGAGCGTCACTCACCTGGCACAGCTGTCAAACAGCAGGAGAGGAAAAGCACGACTGGGAAAGTTTTTGTTATTTTTAATGTCAGTATCCTACAATTACAGTAAAATGCCAATAAAATATCACCTGGAAACTAGAAAACCAGCTTCATTTTATTATAATAAAGGAGCTTTCTAACACATATTCAATATTGTCACTCAAAAATAATAGCCGTCTCCACAGTTGGAAAAACAAAACCTCATTAAAAAAAATTATCATGTCAACTGAATTGATGAATAGCTGGCTTCACTTTACTTTATGCTGTCAATAAAGTTTGAGTTTGTTATGATCTGATGATATTCCACTTCCACTATTTTATTACATTTATGTAAAAAAAAAAAACATACAGGCAGCAGCTATTGTATGTTGTTCCCCAGCAGGAACAATAATAACTATATTATATTAAATCCCTATTCGTAAACTTTAAACAATGTAATTCCCTCCCTTTTCTCCATTTCAGTAACAATATAACTCTAATATTACACTGTAATTATAGGTCATCTAACTCAATGGTTCTCACCCAATAACGGTACAGAACTACTAATAAGCTGTACAATGAGCACAAATAGTGAACCCAATTGATATTTTTAAAGGATCTTTTTAAACAATGCTTTGTCTGTATTATGTATTTTTTTATACACACTTAAAAGGCTTCTTTTTTGGACAAATTTAGTGGTTTCTTCCGGTTTTCAAAGTTTAGAGCTTAAATTAGAATGTGTTTTCTTACATCCCTTAAAAAAACAAGAAGGTCTGGCAAACCCTCACAAAGCTTTGGCGACCCCTAGTGGGGGCCCCCGACCCCCAGGTTGGGAACTGCTGATTTAAATAGTACTTACAGTTAGATTTATTTCTACAAAGAACACCCTTATTCTCTCTAACGTCTTGTCTTCTTTGTGCTGGTATAAGTAGTGGTACCCAGTAAGTATCTTATTCATACCCCTACTTTATATACTATACATTTAAACCTAATTACAAATAAACCTAATTATATATATTAATATAAGTGCTTTGATGAATATGAAGTGAACTGTGTCACATGTCTGTACCTTGTTCCTTATGTGATAAATTATGTGTGATTTCCGCCAGTGTTTTTTTGTATTATGTTTTGTTTTGTGTGCTTTTGTGTTTGTTCTGCAGTATTTCTGTACCACTTTTCAAAAATCAATAAACAAATGCTAAAAGAAAAAAAAAAGATGATTTTAAAATTGATCCTACAATGGTACCCTACCACAACAGTATATATATAAATATATACATATATTTATACATATATATTTATATATAGCCTACATCTGTTGCACAACTCAGTCGATATATGTTTGTTAATGCCTGAGGCGTAACAGTCAATTGCAGTTTATACAGCATTGCAATTTCACCAGGGACTTTGTTATTCAACGCCTGTGCCTCCACTTTTTCTGTCTCTTTTTTTTTCTCAATTAAGCTATGATGAGGAGATGAAGCAGAAACAAGCGAACAAACACACCCACAAGAACACATGAATAGAAACAGCACATTGATCCCGGTTTTTTTTTTTGGACCGATCCCGTTTTTTTTTTTCTCACTGTGAACAAATCCTCTGTTTATCCAGTTGGTGTGTTCTTTGTGTTCTGGTTGGATCCAGATATGAATGCTTCAGCTGGGGTTGCTGCCGGCTCACAGTGAGAGATGTTAAGCTCATCTGTAAAGTGAACATTTGAGCATTTAAAGTACAGCTTCTCTGCTCAATCAATGGCGAGACTTTCATCGCACTCTGTGTCTTTCTACCTGCTGTTATATCCTGGAGACAAATCTACTTAGTCGTGTCAAAACGCAAAATCACAAGCACACTTCTGAACTCTCTTAAAGTACAACCACATCCTTTACAAGGCAGCGCATTAAAATAACATTTCTGTTTTGTGTGCACAATAAATTGATCATGTCACAAATGGAGCGTCTTTAAAATTGAGACAACAGCAATTAAGATTACAATTATCATAATATTTACAGAGATTATGTCTCATTATTGTGCATGCATGACTGTCTTGCCCTGACACAGACAGACTGCTTTCTAACTGAGTATTTACTTTGCCAATTACTGTGCAATTATGTTTACATTAAAAACCAAACCAGTAAAACGATCCCCTGCTCAGAAAAATTACAAAAATAATGAGGCAGTGAAATGATGCTCATATTCTTTTGTCTGTGCTACTTTGCTGTGTATTTGCATCTTGTGCTGTCTTAGACCTGTTGGGAAAGCAATTACCAGTCTGAGCCGCCCATGCAGTGAGGCGGGCTGCTGAGTTTGAAAGATACTGAAATCAATATCTCTGCACTGGAAGAAACATTTCCTGTCACGGAGGCAACAAACCTGAGCCGAGCATGCACACTAATGTTGGCATTTACAGTGACATTCACTTTAATTGCATATCAAGAGATCCGCTCTCTTTCCTCGCTCTGAATTTGACAAAAATCCTCAAAAAAAAAAAAAAAAGAGAGAGAGTCACAGATTTCAATCATCACAGCAGGTAAATGCAGACTAACATTATGCTGCAGGGCACTGCTTTGTTTGTGTAACTGCAAAAATGGAAAAGTAATATAAAATGCTTTCCATTACACAGGCAAATTCATATGGAGACAACTACCCTGCAGTATGTGTCATGTCGTAATCATATTTTCAAAGCCACTGAAGCCCTGTGGTTGGGCTTTTTTTTTTTTTAAACTGAAGGAAAAAACTGAGTTGACATTGTGAAATAAAGGTGACAGACTTCGTCATCATTGATGAAGCTCCTCTTGTGGAGTGTCCAGCAGCCGTGAGCTGTCCACCCACTCACAAACGCAGCTAACCTGAGCCTTGCACCTGAAATGCAAATAAAATGGAAAAATAAAAAAATCCCCACTTGACTGATCAGTAGAAACAGACAGCATTACAACACATTTTACTGTAACTTGCTGCAATCCTCTATCAGAATCCAACTAGCAGCAACAAACCAGAAGAAAGTGCTATAAAATTAGATTAATTCCAGCAGCGAATACTCAGAAGAGCAATTTTTTTACTGCATTTTTACCTTATTTATTCTAGTGACTATAGTGTTTTTTTATTGTTATTTCTTTCTTTGTAAGTCATAATTTTTAGATGTTGTATCATGTTGTCTTTCACTGCAAACAAAATCTACCTATGGGTACAAATAAAGCAACCCGAACCTAATGAAATTTTTGATAAATTTCACTTAAAACCACAAATGTCAACATCATAGTGGCGCTAGAGGAGAAGTAAACAGGATGATCAAAGTCTTTAGGATTCATCATCTGGGAACTATGAATGTCTGTACCAAGATTTGTGCCAATCCATTCCAAAGACGTTGAGATATTTCACAAAGTTTTGACCTGCTAGAGGCATTAGCGGAAAAACAGGATAACCCAAAGCCAGTGGGATTAATCCTCTGAGAACCATGGAAAACTTTCTACCAATCCATCCAATAATTGTTGAGATATTTCAGTCTGGACCGAAATGGTGAACTGTCTGACATGCACTGAGCCGTGGCTATTAATAAAAAGAAAGAGAGAGAGAGAGAGAAACTTCTTGCTGTTTCCATACCCACATTCCACCTGCACACATATTACTGTTCGTCATATATTCTATATATGAGAACAAACACAAGCAAAGCTCAAAACTACAAATCAAACGCGATCATTAATTTCCCCCACGTGTCTAAAAATAAAATGATAATTTCATTTGTGCGAGCGTATTTCAAATTCTGAAAAGCTTGTTGCTCAGCAGCACCTGTGCACCACCCACATGCTGCATCAGATCATTTCTGAAACCTGGTGGGTTTAAAAGTAAAAAAGACTGAGCCACAGGGAGATTGCATGGTGTTCAAGTGGTGTAATGGTTCAGCCTTTTTATTGGGCTCCAGTCGTGGTGCTATCTGCAATTACTGTAATGAAGACAGACCTAATTATCTCAGCAGACAGAACTCCACTCTGAACAGGACTCTAATTATGGCCTAAATGCTGCTCTCTTACTGTTCAGTGCCATACCCAGGGGTTATAAGAGAGAGATGGGGGTGGGGGGGACTGCTGCTGTCTTCTTACCACGCAAACTTACAAACACACACACACACACACACTGAGGGCTCAGTGTGCCCAGCTGTTCTGATGCTCCTCTGTGCTGACATGATGGTCTGGTGGCAAGGATTATCTAACATGACACACTCTGCCCCCCTCTGACCGGTGACAGCCTTTCCTATCATCTGATTAATTAATCACAACTCCAGATGTCACATGAGCAGGAATGTCACTTGTATTGTGAAGTAAATTCCACTAATATTGTACAGGAAAAATCCCATTCAAGTACTAAAACCCACATGTATTAGAGCAAAAAAACAGCCAGACGAGACTAGCTATACATGAAGTAATGTCTGACAAAGAACAAAAGGGGCAGCAGGGTTACTTACAGATGGATTACTCCATCAGTGGTCTCATTCTGGGCCCCCGTTCATTTTGAATTTATGAATGCAGAATAATTGCTGATTTATCCGCTGTTGTAGATTCAAGGCTGAGGCGCAGATAAATTAAAAACCATGTTTCTAAATTCAGACTGAGGAAGGGTAAGCGGCTTGTGCAGTGACCTTGATTATAGGTATTGAACATCCAAGTGAGGAGACGGGACAGATAAGAGGGAAGTATTCGCACCAGTGACGCAGTGTTGGTGCCGGCTAATGAGTGCAGCCAACATGCGGTCACACAGCGCAGTGAGATATGAGTAAGGAAACTGGCATCAGTAATAAAGCGGAGGGCAAAGTTTACCTCGGTGGCTCAAACAGTGAAGACGGCAGCATGTGCACGCAAAATGTCTGCACAATCAGTTATTTCAGGCGGGTTATGTGGTGGTTTTCTTGGGAGCTAAATGGACTCCACTGTGTGCACTGCAGTCTCCAATACTGCTGCATTTTAAACTGGCCCAGTAAAATAAAAAAATACCTTTGTTTAATCCCCCTGAAACAAGGCTGAAATCTTGTATCCAGGGTAGATTTACAGAGATTATGTCTAGCAGAGGCTTGGATATATTTGTGAATATGCATCAGAAAATTGAACAAGGAAAAAGAGAGAACACAAAGTGGAGCATTATGCACAGTGATTCATATTACACGCAGTGAAAAACAACAGGAAACATGAAACACAAATGATTTTAGGGCTTGTAATCCCCCAAGAGAGCAACAGTATGGCCTTAAACTACAACAATGTGACTTGCAGCCAAGGTCACTGAGCGCTCTAATGATCACTTGAGACTCATTCTCTGCCAGCATGTACTTTAAAAGCAACAAGAACAAAGCATCGATGCTGCGAGCACATCTAATAAGAATATGCAATTACTGTATTATTACTGCTCTTGAAAAGAGCTGCGTTTTTTTGTTTTTTTTTCTGGATTATTTACAACCTGTGGACGTTCATGCTCGACTGCACCGTTCGCGGCTCTGCCAGAAAGCTGCAGTCACAATGATCCACTGTTGTGTAGCTTCAGGCTCAGGCAGCTATCTGAGTTCTGCCTACAGGAGAATCTATATTTGTCTATGTGACAATCCAATTTTCCACGGACCAGCAGGGGAATGTGAAAAACACAATCTGAAAAGAAAAAAGGGGGGGGTGGAAGGTGAGACAGTATACCTAGCACAGCAGCTTTAATTATTCATTTGAGGGGAATTGTCAGCAAATGTTGGTTTTTTGTCTATTTCACGGTCAGTCATTCATGGGCCAGGTTATTGCTGTGCGTGAACAGAGAGATGACAATATCTGGCAGAGATAACACGGCTTCTACACAAACAACTGAAGGTGGATTTGATGGATAATGGCAATCAAAGAGGGTTATTACAGTGAGAAAAGCAGCTAGTTTACAAGTAATTGCATGTGATTTTCATCCAGTGAGCTCACATTTTATGTTTTTGTAAAAAAATGAACCATGCAAGGATGTGAAATAAATATTGTGTGTGATATTGTACCTGTGGATAAAAACAGACTTTCGGAGGAAGACTGTCTGTCTCATCTTCTGTTGCACACTATGACAGAAAAAAAAAAAAAAATGTGCAGCCTAGACAGAAACTTTATCTTCTGAGAACACAGTGTGACAATAAAGCTGGCCTGAGAGAGGAAACGAGCATCCACACAAAGAAATGTCAGTCTGACCTGGTCACTTCAATAAGACCCGACAGCGCCCTCTGGTGGTCGACACAAAGCAGTGCAAATCACTATAAGCCGAAAAAAAACAAATAATCACAAAAAGTAGATTTGACAACTTTTAAATTTAATATAATTAATTTAAAGCAACTTTGGGGCTCGTGTCACACTCATGACGCTTAAAATGACGTTTCATCTTCCAGGTTCCGATAATAATAATAATGAAGCTCCGGCGTTGCGCAGGCGCGTTACAAGACTGAGGCGAGAACACGGAAGTTCCGTGTTAGAGGAAAGAAAACAGAGAAGACCTCGCTGTGATCTCCCCTCAGAGCTTCTTTTAAGAAATACAAACGCTTTCCAAAAAAAACACCGTGAATAGAGGTAGAGGAAGATGCCCGCCCGCAACCTTGTGTCCAGCGGGCTCTCTGACAGCAAGGTGAAGTACTCCAGGTTAGCCACTGATGATGACGGCTACATTGACTTACAGGTAAGAGGAGGAAGACCCACTAAAGCCTCAGTAAAGCCCCCTGACAGTATATATATATATATATATATATATATAAAGGTTCAAACTTCCCTGTATTGGATGCATTGTTTAGGGGGGAGTTGTGTAATTTATGTCCTCAAGTTTAGTCAATAATAATAATAATAATAATAATAATAATATCTGTTCATCAGATTTTCTGATTTCAGCTTCTTAAATGTGACTGTTGTCTGGTTTCTATCGCCCTCTATGAGCAAACAACTAATCGATTAATCGAGAAAATGACGATCGATGTTGGAGAAAAACAGAGGATGCATGTCACAGGTTGTCACATCAATACTAATACACAACCAGCGCTGCGTCTCACATCTGGGATGAGAAGAGGAGCAGAGATGTTTATCTTTATTGCTAAATAACAACAAAACAGTCCGATATCAGGACATATTGTTCTTTTACACATCGGTATCGGCCCATAAATTGCCAATCGGTGCATTCCCTAGACAGTAATGATCAGTTCTTTCTGTGTTGTGATTTATATGCTGAAGTTATCACAGCAGATGTGGTTCTGGAGTAAATCACAATATAATGAACTTAAAGAGGAATTCCAGTGGTTTTATTAGTGCACTTTCATAACATTGTTTTTAAAAGAATAATCAAAATCAACTTTTAGAGTATAGTATGGATCAAACTCCAAAAAAAACCCCACTACATTTCCCACAACGCAACTTTTTTGGTAGATTCCCACCTTTTTTAAACTCTTATGATTCACAATTACTGTGGGAATGATCAGTTTTGCGTCACAATTTTTATTTCCACTGTAAAAAAACAAGTCAAATCATGATGATGTGACATTTGTTGGGGTCTGGAAAACCAGATTTGTAGGCCAGGGCGTCTCTGCAGCACTACAGTACTGCATTTATTCCCCTTTATCAGTTTAGATTTAGATAATACTCTAATTACTTGTGCATCCCTAATATTTGTCAGCCCCAATCCCAAACTGAGATAACCCTAATGACACCATCTGGGGTATTTTCTCATACTAGAAAAAGCTCCTCCTGAGTCACTGAAGACATTATACAAGTGTTTTCAAGTGCTGAATAATACTTGTGACTAATACTGCATGACTAAGTAAGTGGACCATAATGTAACAGGACAGTTTTATGGCTCATACAGTCAGCTTCCGTTTGATATAAAGTATCTCTGAGCCCGGCACAGACCTTCACTTGTCCCAGAAGTTACAGCACATTGTGAGCCAGACTTAATTTTGCCTGCCTGGTTCAGTACAAACAGGCATCGCCGCAGAAAAAACCTGCTGTGTCAGAGAAAAGTGTTTTTAATTAAATATTTCTCCTTTTCTCTGCAGTTCAAAAAGAGCCCACCCAAAGTCCCATACAAAGCCATAGCACTGGCCACAGTCCTCTTCCTAATCGGCTCTCTGTTAATCATCATTGGCGCCCTTCTCCTGGCTGGATACTTTGGAGTCACCGTGAGTACTTGTACTTGTATTTTGTGTGTTTTTTTTTTTACAGTGTGAACAACATATTTAATGAATATGAAATGTTTTCCCGCTTTCAGCACTCAGACCGAACCGTGCCCGTCCTTATCATCGGGATCCTTGTCTTCCTGCCTGGAATTTACCACCTACGAATAGCGTACTATGCTTCAAAGGGCTACCGTGGCTACTCCTATGATGATATCCCAGACTTTGATGACTGACGGACTCCACACAGCTCCAGCCACAGTCTTCCCGTCCTCACACATACTCATAGTACTCTGCTTGTGCTAATTTAAATGCACTGATACCTTTTTGAAGACATTAAAGTTAATAGATTCTGTAAATTATCTTCATCTTTTGATGTTATTGTGATTAGTTTTATACCTATGGTAGTTGATGCCAGCCTGCTGTTATGAAGCCAAATAAGTCGTTGTTTAATTTGTATATTTGTTTTGTTAGCTTGATAAATAATAAATCTGTAATTTAACGAGTCTCTTTTACTTGTATAATGTTATTTTTATTAAGTCAGATTATGTAGAACCAGAGAGAAAGTGGCATTAATTTAATAACTGTTAATAACTTCACACTGAGTCGGTCTACAATAGGACACATTTTACCCTACAATACAGTATATGTGTAGCTAATTATAGTTTTCAAAATCAAATCACTTTAACTTGAATTATAATTTAATTCACAGTACAAAGGACCTTTTTCACAGCAGCCATTTTGACATGAAATAGTAGGGTAAATACAGGTGTTAATATCATTGTTAGCCCCTGTTTTTACCCTACTATTTCATGTCATAATGGCTGCTGTGAAAAAGGTCTATTAAGACCAAAATGTGCACAAATTTCAGGCTGTAGAGGCTAAACTGTGTAAAACAGATTTAATAAGAGGTTTATTACTGGGGTTGTCCACCGTGTGATCAATATCCTGTTCACCGCGGTTGGTCCTGCTCTCCAGTTAATTCTTTGCTCACTGAGTTGTTCTTTCTTGGAGGATTTCATGTGATTAATTCCAATCCTTTGATCTCCATATGGTGCACCTGGCCTGTGAGAGTAAACATAGTCGTACACACACGCAATTAAGAGCTGGCATTCTGTTAAAATCACATTCCCTCTCCGCCATCAACTCATCAGTCAGGTTTCAGTGTGACTTTGTGCTGCAGGATAATGCCATATGTAAATTGTAAAGACTTGCCAGCAAAGGTTGCAGATGCTTGGCAACCGGCTGTCTCGGCGGATATATTCAAGGACAGTTGCTTCTCTTTGTGTTTCTCTCGCTAACCAAATGTGTCGACAATCGGCCGCCAACCCACAAACTATATTTGGCAGATCACGTCAAACGCTTCACGTCAGCTCAGAAAACTTCTTTTTAAGACTGCCTACTTTTTCAGGAGACGCACGTAAAGGATCGCTCACATTGGACAGAGAGTGAATGCACTGTTCCTCTATAGCCTCAGTAATTTACCTTTAACCATAGCTCGGTAATATGTGATTTGAATTATATTGATTATTACTACACAGGCAGAAAGAACGTATGAGATGAGCAGACACATAATGAGTGCATAGTAATATTCAAAGGATATTACAGTAATTTAACAGTGTATGTTCACAGAAATCAAATTAATTTCTAACATTATGATGGTACAAAATCACTTTAAACTAGTAATAAGTACGAAATTATATGCAAAGCAGAGTTATTATAGTTTTATATCGTTTCCAGAGTTGGTTTTCTTGGTCCAGTTTTGTACATTTATTGTGTAAAAATGTTTAGTTTTAGTTTAGTGTGCGTTAGTTTTAGTGTTTTTATGATAATATGGGGTGGTATTTATCAGGAGCATGATTTAAGAAGTCTAATATAGACTCACAGTGATAGTAGACAATGCTTCCTCATGCTTCTGCTGACAAATTTGACCAAAAGACTAAAAATAATTAAATAATTTATTTAATTTAACCTAGTTTGTAAGCACACAACAACATTTCAGTTACATAAAATGACTTTTCACACCTAGTTTTTAGGTTTAAGTTAACTATAATAACCTTGGACTGAACTCTATTTTATATTTCTATTAAATGAACCAACTCACAGCCTGTTTACTGTCGCCCTCCTGTGGTGATACAGACCGTCTGTTACTGGATTGGCTCATTTTAAACTTGTCTTGTAACCGACCACATCCCCTATCAGCTCATCTGTGATAGTAGATTTAACTTTTAGATCATTAGGACTTCAAAAGAACTGCTCCTGAGGTAAGATAAGCAAAATATTTGACAGTAAAGTGACATAACTGCCTTAAAATATGACAAATAAATAGGAAAAAATCAGGAAAAAACATCTTAATTTAAAAAAAATAATATAGCTAACATAACAGCATGGTTTTGGTCTATGGTAATAGGTAATATTAATGCATAATTAATAATAATTAATAATTTATGGAGAGAATAAAAGCTCCCTTTTCAGTGGCAGTGAATTGTGGGACGTAAAGGCGGGTTTATTTAAAAAGCAAATGTATAAATATTAAATTTGATCTTAGTTTCTGGTCTAAGAGACATTAGGCGTTTCGGTTTTTGGAATATTTGTCTTAATATTTTAAAGGAAAAGATTTTAAAAAGGCGTTTTATTTCCCTCACTTTACCAGCTAACGTTAGCTAGTTTAGGTTTGTGCCTGTTGGCTTGTAGCTAATATTAAATTATAATTAACTTACAGGAAGATAAGTTATATTGATTATGTTCACTAGTGCTATTAGAAAAAAAATTAAAAAATATCTATTTGTGTTATATAATGGATTTATGGGAAGGTGGTGTGTGTGTGGGTGATAAAACTCATTAACATTTTTAATATTTTACACCCGTTTTCAAACCTTTATCTTCACGGTATGTTTTAAATATTTAGTTGCTTATTTGCTGGACGCTGTACCAAACGGCAGAGGGTGAAATGTGTCTTTAAACTGTCTGTTTTTGCCCTTTTTGTCTGTCTTTCCCTCGAAAAAGCGCTTTTGTCTGAAGCTTCAGAATAAAGTTACACAGAGACAGACGGCAGGTTACCGGAAGTCGAGTATTTAACTTTCAACATAAAAGCTTTTATTTTTTTATTTTACCAAACATGCTCTTACACGCTTATTTTTATTATTTTTTTACATTTAATCCAGTAAAAAGTTATAAAATTGGTGTAAAATATTGTTTGTAACTATAAAAGAGACAGTAATTTATCCCGGTCATTTAAAGTAATCTTTAAACTGTATATGTCGTGGATTTAGCATTTAGTATTTTGTTTATTATAAAGACACAGCTTGACTCCGAAGACCTTTTTCACAGCAGCTTTTTTGACAGGAAATAGTAGGGTAAACACAGGTGTTACCAATTATACGAATGAAGGTGTTGTTCCATTTCGTTTCGCAGATCGCAGCACTAGGGTTTATCCTACTGTTTCATGTCAATATGGCTGCTGTGAGAAAGGTCTGTTGGCCTTTTTTACAGCAGTCATTTTGAATTATTATAATGATATTATAGTTACTAATAGTGATTGGTCTGTGTGACAGTGAGCCAGCATGCACAATACCAGGACCCTGAACTGATCATTTATTTTAGTATTTACACTATTGATACGTTTGATTTATGATTTTTGTAGTGTATAAAATTATGAATATGTCTGAAAATGCCTATCCGGGAGCCCAAGGTGATATCTATGAATTGAATTATTGTCCGACAAAACAGTCCAAAAATGTAAATATGTTCAGTGACTATTAAAAGAATATAAAACAGAGAAAAAAAGAGAAAAAAAACTGCAAATTCTCACATTTCCATCCTTGATAAATGACTGATTTACACCTTTAACAATAGAGCTTTCCTCCTCGTGTTTTCTTTTATGGTGAAAGGTGTAACGGGAAGTGTTGTGGTTGCATCCTGTGTGACTTGACAGCGGCTCTGGCAGCTCCTGTAGTAGGAGGAGGGATCGATAATAATGGGAGGGGAGAGACACGGAGTATCAACAGCAGGGCTACAACTCAACGTGCAGTGTTTGCTCCCTTTCTGGGGAAACTTGCGCCTGTTTGATGATAAATCCAGGGTCGTTTTATACACGTTTCTTAAATGTTAATTATAAAAACTCATGATTAAAAGTACTTTTCAGCAAGTTTTGGACAAAGACGACTGCGGGACTTAAAAAGCTAAAGGCGTGGGAAGTTTAAATGGACTTTAAATGGGCTGATGTCGGTCTCATGGAGGTGGTTTTGGGTTAATGGATTTTATTGAACCAGTAAAGTATTTTTATTATAATTTTTTTTTTTAAAGGAAGTCTGATAACCATGGATGTCGAGGAATAATTGTTATTTTCTTTTGATCCTTTGGACTGAGAACAAAAAATGTGACCACCTGCGATTTATTCAACTCTCTTCTTTTTTTTTTTTTTTTTTAATTTTTAAAAGTCTTTTTTCTTTTAATCTCCCCTTGTAGACAAAAAAAGAAGGAAAGAACAGTTCAAATTTGAGTGCAAGACGAGTCTTAAAAAGAAGAACCAATGGATTGAAAGATTATACTTTCAGCTTCAAGTGAAAAAGTGCCTCAAGCAAAGGTAAGCATCCTCTAAAGGACCCTGTATTCTGCTTTAAATTCAGTTTCCCTGCTTAATGCACTGTAGTAATACTGAGATACACTGCGGTGTCGCGCCTTTGTTTATGTTTAGTGTATCCCATGCACCACTTGTAATCCCCCCCCATACCACACTGAATAGGTCTAACATGCTGCAATGACCCAAAACTGAACCCTGTCCCCTTGATTAAAATAGTGGTGAACAATAGTCAGTCAAAAAAAAAAAATAGTGTTTTTCTGTATTAATTTTATTGTCCTCCCTCCCTCCCTCCTCTCAGCTGGTATCAGACACACTGACTCAGACAAAAGATGCACCTGTTTGGGTTTTACAGGAGGTCTGTGTGGTGACACGGAGGACCGAGCATCACAATTCACTGTAAGGGTGCAGAAATAAAAGGAGGTTGTGGCTTTGGTGTCTGTTTTATGTGGACCAGACGGTGTATTTGCCTGCTGCTCCACATGGTGCAATGTGCTGGACAGAACCTAATTTGAGCTGGGTTTTTTTTTTTTTGTACAGAGGAGTGCAGTCGTCTTGATGTATATACTCTAGTGCCTCCTCTCCTTTGTTTTTGTTGTGCTTCTCAGTGCTGATTGGTGAGAAATGAGGCACACAGAGGCACACATCACTCTGGATGCCTGTAATCCCTTGGTTTTTTTGGGCCATTTGACTCTATAGGCACACTGTTTACTTTCATAAATATAAGCTTCCTTCGTTAATCAGCTTGTGTAGGTTGTCAAAGGTTTTACTCGCTTTTGACATAAAAAAAAAAAAATAACAAAATGGAAATATACTTCCAGTCTGGTCCTTTTGGCAAACACCACATTATAAATCAGTTTTGGGATTGAATTATTTACAGGGTGACAGCTATGTGCGAGGAGCAGTTTTGCATTTTTTTCTATCAGA